GAGCATTTGCAGAAACTGAAAGCACTGTTTAAGAGGCTGAAGGAAGCCTACTTAAACATTAAACCTGCCAAATGTCAGCTTTTCTGCAGGGAAGTGAGCTTTTTGGGACATGTAATCTCCACGGAGGGGATAGGCCCAGATCCAGAGAAGGTGGAGGCTATAAAGGCCTGGCCAGTACCTCAAAATGTAACAGAACTGCACAGCTTCTTGGGTTTAGCCTCCTATTATAGAAGGTTTCTGGCAGATTTTGCTACCATTGCAAGCCCCTTACATAAGCTCTCTGATAAGGTGAAGTTCATCTGGACGAAGGAATGTCAAGATGTCTTTATAGAGCTAAAGCAGTGGTTGATGTCATCCCTTATCTTAGCATATCCCAATCCTCAGTTACCCTTCTTGTTGGACACTGATACAAGTGATATTGGCATTGGAGCTGTTTTGCCATGAGTTGAAGGAGGCCAGGAAAAGGTACTAGCCTATGCAAGCTGACCCTTAAAATAGCTGAGTGCCAGTATGCAACTACAAGAAAGGAATTGCTTATTTTGGTGGCCTTAACAAAATATTGTCGACATTTCCTCCTGGGGAGATGCTTCACATTAAGAATGGGTATCACAGCTCTGCAGACTGCCCCCTGGTTCCACCTGCTGTTACACACATTATATACACGTTACACATGCACAGCATGGTGTAAGGTGGGGGTGCCAAAACAACTTAAACAGGAACTAGACCATGAAGATAGAGACCCCTCCCCCTCCAAAAACAGCATCCCATCTTTGTTTTGTCTAGTAAGTGCCTGCCCAAATAGGAAGTTTTTACAGCACTACTGGCCATTTCTGAATGAAGAGCAGAAAGCAGTAAGTCCTGTTCTTCAGTTAACTGGTGGAAATATATGTCAATCATTTGTCCCCGTGATTCTGTTGGCTGTGCCTAGAGGTAGGCTGGTGCACAACCAGGAGGAGAAGGGTTCTGAGCCAGCCAGGGAGGGAGGGAGGTGGTGGCCCAACCCGTTGCTGTTGATTGGCTAAGGAGCCCATTGCCCCCCCCCCCCCCCCCATCACTACTGACTGGCTGAGACAGTGACCCTGCCCCTCATCACTGACTGACTGAGGGTGCCCACTCCTCACCAAAGGTCTGTCCTGTATTCTGGGGATGCATCAGTGGCCACCCTACTGGTACTATATATAAAAAATAGTTCTGACACCAGATCTATCTTGGATGTTTGTGCGCATTAAAAATGAAGAAAACTTCTGGAGGTGACTGCTATGCACTAGTATAATTGAATCAAAGGCAAATGGATGCATTAATTTAGGTATGACTTCTTAGATGGTAGTATGTAAGATAATGAAGCATCAGGTTATTAATAGATTTTCTTTATCCCTATGTCATACTTTTAGGATTAATTTTTAATGAATGTATGCACCTTTATTCTTGAACCTGCCAGCCTTTAATCTGTATTAAATCTATCCTTTTTCCATGTATTCTTCTTTTGTTCTTTTTTTCTAATTCTATTATCCTGCCTGTCTTGTTAACTAGAATAAACTGGATGTTGATAAACTAGAATCAGAGTACACAAAACAAATTTAATGGATGCAAGGTGTCCAATTTTTCCCTTACTGTGAGTCCTGTCAGTAACCAGAGGGTATAGATATTTAACTACAGTTTGTGCATATGATGTTATGTTGGCTGCTCTAACCTGTAGAAATGGTTGTGATTACAGATAACTGGATAGAGAAAAAATGTCTAACTACCACCTGCAGTCAGGATTATCCTGATATTGCATGTATCTAGAACCAGGCAGTAACTAAATCCAAAATCAAATGTAAAGCAAAGGAGTATCACTGGTTTTAATCAGTGTTTCCCCATTTAGGCCAGTGATGAATGTGACCTACTGTGTGGTGTATTATCCAGCTTGATTTTTTTTTTTAAATCCTTTTATTGGCTTACTTTCTGGTTTCCTTATCTATTTCCCTCTAGCTTAGCTCTTGTACATGACAGGCAACATTTTGAAAAGGGCTCCTGTGTACTATTGAAACTAGTGGGAGTAAAGCCAGGACAACATGGTTTCCAAGCATATAGCATTTTAAAATCAATGTGAAGTGTATTATTGCTTCTTTAGCTATGTAACACTGAAAAGTAGACTGCCACTGTATAAATATAACATATTGGTCATCTTTGGTTTGGCTTTCCTAATGTGTTAAATATCTTAACTCTTTCATTATAGCTCATGTGAAAATAATTTGCAAATTAAAATGATTCTGATGTTCAACTGGACCTCTGTTTTTAGTGACTTACAATCTATTTAATTTTGAATGATAACATGTCACTCCCACATGGACAACAACAATGGTTATGCATTTGTACAGCAGCTAGCACAGAGGTCTATGCTTAGGGTGGCTAGGTGCGCCAGCAGTGCTAATAACTACTGTTTTTCTCTTCCACTGCTCTGAAGATTGCGGATGTTGCTACAAAACCTTTGACTGAAGCTAGAAGTCATAAGAAGAACCTTGACAGGATTTCCTTCAGAGAATGCAGATTCATCAGAAGCAAATGCTTTGTGTGAAAATGTATTTTGTTTGAAATGTCTTTCAAAAGAAATGTCCCAACAATGCTGATTATTTCTCTTTGACACTTGAAAGAAAATGTTCTGACTTCTCATTTTGATTTTTACATATAAGAACGTGTATAAGAATATGAAAGGGGGTAGGGGGAAGAATGTTTCATTCTGTCTTAAACAAAAACCTCTCTCTGGAATTTAACTAGCAACAAAGCTAAAGTTCAAAATCTTGAAACTCTTCCTGGGACAGGAGCTTCTTGGGAACTTCTGTCCCAAGCACAGCTATAGTATCTGCATGTTGAAGCCTTATTTAACTACATGTAGGCTACACCTACATAGATGCCAGAGGTTGTAAGCTCTTCTAGTGAGGCACGTAACTCGGAGTAATACACCTGACTTTTCATTTGGACTGTTTAGCACAGTATCCCACCCAGTCTAATGTGCCTAGACTGCTTCTGCAGCCTGATCTAGTAATTCCAGTACCAAGGCAATTGGGGCATCTTTGGTTGTCTCTGCACGGTTCTGTGTTGTGCCATGCAGATAAGCACTTATTTGTGGGTTAATTTGAACAAACTGTTTTGGATCTGAATCATATGGCAGGAAAATGTGGTAGAATCTAAGCGTCTGTTTGCTTACAGTTGCATTTAAGGTAGCTAGGAGTTCAAATCTGACCAGTTGTAACTGCACTTTTTTGGGGGGGGAATAGAATTGAAAACAAAGGACTATGTCTTACCCCCTTTTAAATGTCTTTGACAGTCAAAGCCCATCTGTACACTTTCAGACAGGTGTTTAAATCTTCAGAATAAGGAAAAGGGTTTGCAAATAACTCTTTGGGTTTGCATTTGTGCAATTATTCACCTATTAGTGTGTATTGCCTTTTTGATACTGTACTGGCAACTGCTAGCTCTTCTTTTCTTTTCTTTTTAAAATTTGGTCTTACATGCCTTGTACACACTTAAAACATTGCACTTCAAGCATAGGCTTGGTGTCAGTGAAGTAGAGCATAATGTGACACACGAAGAAAGAAGCTAATGTGTCCATAAGGTGTGAAAAGACGCTGCACTCGTGGATTTTCATGCTTCATGGTGGTTATTAGTAAATATGAAGGAAACTTGTCCCCTTGGGCTACTATTGCTTTTCTCTAAAAATTATTCTGTTTTAGAGAAACACCATTTTCCCCTCTCCCCTCTGAACATGTTTACTTGAACAGAATTAACAAGAGTCTCTTGAGGTTGGCTTCTGTTGCTAAAGCATCCAATAATAACAAATGGCATACATCTTCTAGGAACAAGTAAATGCGATTGTGACAGATTCATGAAATAAACGGAAAAGGCATTGCTCCAGTCACTAGAAACATATGTTAATATGTACAACATATTATTAACTAAATCACATTTTCCACCGCATTAAACAAGCCTAAACTAAAACATTGAAGCCAACGATATTCAAGCATGACTTAACAAACTTTCATTTAAACGTTATGACCAGAAGTATGTAATTATGCATTTCCAGAATTACTCATTAAAACCAGAAGCTGCTTATAATTTGATCTTAGCTTTTTGCTTAACTACAACAAAAAACAAAAGCATAACTCATCAAAACGCCTTTTTAATAGGAGACCATTTCTGTAAAAAAACATTCAGATATATTGGTCCTCCTAAATGTGTGGATTTTTAATTTTCTTCTTGAATCCTTTTCGGCATGCTATGCTGCAAAGTTGGGTGGTAGTATTTGCCACTAAAGCAATACAAGTTGTGGGGGTTGGCCCATTTCTGCCTTCATTGAAGGCCGTGAGTTCCAATGCAATAATACTTACCATGTCAACTGCAAAGATGTCATGAAGAACAATTACTCAGTGTTTAAAAGTGCTTAGTGATTAGAGGTACCTTGAGTGCTAATGTGAGAAACTCCAAACCAGCCATATTTTGAATCCTCACAGGTATTCAGGTTCCAGTAAAATTTTTAGAAAAGCACTATGAAACTTGAGCAATTCAAAATGACTTGTTATTATATAAAAAATTGTTTGTTCTATTTGTTTTTATTGGACCATACAGTCAATGAGCATTTAAGCTTGCTACTAAATCCTGAGGGTCAATGTCTACACCAAACTGGGCTTGCAAATCAGATTATATTCACACAAGCCCCCTTTAATGTCTAGATTGATCAGCTGTCCTGCCAAATGTCCATTGACATGAGAAATTCTAAGAGCAACCCTATGGCATCTGCATGCAAGTGAAACAACACAGATGAAAGTTTGTGTATACCTTGGTAACAGGCCACTGAACTTAAAATTCATAATAGTGTTCTTTTGCAGATGCCATTTGATGAGCAGGCATCATTGTCGAGCTAAAACCCTTTCTTTGCAAGCCCAGATGATGACTAATATTGGGAAAAACATTAAGTAATTTAATGATGAATTCTAATAGCCCACTGTGCTTTATTCTTCTAGGGAATCAGTAGCTTGTTCAGCTCACTTAAAGTAGTCAGACTACTTCGGCTGGGTCGTGTGGCTCGGAAGTTGGATCATTACATTGAATATGGAGCAGCAGTCTTGGTTCTGCTGGTGTGCGTATTTGGTCTTGCAGCTCACTGGTTGGCCTGCATTTGGTACAGCATAGGAGATTACGAAGTTATTAATGAGGATACAAACACAATCCGAACGGAAAGCTGGCTTTACCAGCTAGGGGATTCCATAGGAACACCTTACCGATTCAACGCGTCATTTGGAAAATGGGAAGGAGGGCCCAGCAAGGATTCTGTTTATATTTCCTCGTTGTACTTCACAATGACTAGCCTCACCAGTGTTGGATTTGGGAATATTGCTCCGACTACAGATGGAGAGAAGATCTTTGCTGTTGCTATGATGATGATTGGCTGTAAGTATCAGAGATTCCATTTTCCATACACAATGGCCTGTAGTCAGAGTCTTGCTGTAAATGTTTAGCTTCATAAAAACTTCTTAGGCAGCATGTCAACTGTTCCTAACCAAGTTTTAAAAATTAGGCTTGGAGGCAAATCTAAATGTTATTATGTAGACTGCTTTCTGATAAGAAATGTTACCAGGATGTGTGAAAATTAGCTCATGTTGCAGAATATTACAATGACTGTTTCTGCAGCAAAACATAGTTGAATTTCTGCTTACGTTTAAATGATTCAATATAACAGAATCTACACACTCTAAACTGACTTACAGGGTACTATAGCTTGCTTTTTTCCCCGCTAGATGATTTTACAGAGCTTACACCAAAGTAGGAAAGTCCTGCTTGATGCTATGGATTAGTTTCACAGTGTACTGAAAGGGGGGAGGGGGAATATGTAGAAGTACTTATTTACTCAAATATAAGATGACCACCTCTCAGTAGTTAGATTTTATGTATGGAAAAGTTATGAACTTATTATAATTGTCCAGGTATAGAATCTAATTATTGGAGGTTGGCCTTGAATTTGTCCCCCTCCCACTGCCACAGCAGAGAAAATAAATCTGGGGGGTCAGGTAGCCCTCTTGCCTTCTGCTTCCCGCCCAGCTTCCTTTCCCTGCAGCCCATTCCCCTCTTTACTGTCAGACCCTGCTCTCCCTGAGTACATGGAAGTGAGAAGCAAATTTGAAAACACTGACCTTGAAATGAAATATAGCTGTAGCAATTTGCACATGGTACCCTTAGACTTACTTCATCCAGAATTGATGCATTTTACCTTTTTTTAAAACTGCTGCAAGTTTTAGCATAGGTCCTATATAAACATACTCTTAAGAAGCACTTTGGCACCTACTTATGTAGAACAAATACATATGATATATAGAACAAACCCATGTCCAAAGCCAAAATGTTCAGAATTTACCATATAGTTAATGGGGCTGGGTCTCACCAGTCAATAGCATTTCAACCTATGGTGACCCTACAGCTCAGCAGTGCTCCATGTGTGTGCGTACTCCAGATACCCCTGCCCCCCCACAAAAGGATCCACGGGCTAATTAGCTGGATGTTCTTGTCATGAGCTATGGGATGTTCCAAAAATGTATATGCTGATGAGACACAGGGCAACCTGGTCTGGCTCCACCTCATGGAGGGTGGGACCACACGAATCATATATGACAGGCTGAGAGAGTTGGCAACAGAGGGATTCTGGGTGAACTGTCTGGGGCCTCATTTGGCGATGTTTGCCAGACATTTAAGGCTGATGAAGAAACAGGAATGATTGGAAATGGAAAAGAAAGGCACAGCTCAACTGTGGGAGTGAGGAGGAAGCTGAAATGTATTCAGTATGGTGGCTCATCATGACTTAAAAAAATTCAGAGCTAAAGGGGACTGAGCAGTGGGCACTACTGTATATCTTGTTTAGATGGACTGAACTGACCCATCTTTGTGGTGGGTTCCCAGATGGCCTGCACTAATGTACCTGGCAGGGGAAGCACTGTGACCACATAGGCAGGCTCCCCAGGGCAGGTGATTGTCTCTAATATGTCTTCCATAGGAGGTCTATATTGAGCAGATTTTTGATGTTGGGTGGTGGACCTGGAGTTTGCTCCATCCACTCCATGCATTGACCTGGTATT